GTGGGGACCCTCCACACATTTCCCCCCCCCCCCACCATGGTGCACAGCCAGCAGCAGCAGGTGGAGGCCCTTGGGGTACTCGTGGCCTGCGCAGGTGGTGCTGCCCGGCGGTGCATGGCTCCGGCCAGAGCTGCACATGGTGAAAAGGAACGCAGCCAGGCTGGCCTGCCTCTACTGTACAGGGCTCTCTGTGGTGCACGTGCAGCTCTCAGCGCTCACGCACCACTGGGGGAAGCCCCATGCGATGGAGCTGGCTGCCTTCCCCACGTGCAGCTGCTGGGACTCTTCTGGAAGTGGCAGGGAGCCCCACACCCCCTGCTTCTGTGCTCCATCATGCGGGGTTTCCCCTGATGGCACGTGAGTGCCAGGAGCAGCACGTGTGCTGCAGGGAGCCCCGCACGATAGAGGTGGGCCAGCCAGTGCTCCTTGCTGACATGAGCAGCTCTGGCCGGAGCCATGCGCCACCAGGCAGCAGCACCCGCACAGGCCACGAGAGCCCTGAGGAGCCCCACTTGCTGTTGCTGCTGGTGACAGCAGGGGCTATGCACCATGGGGGGGAGTGTGTGGAGGGTCCCCCACCCCTTACACCCTCCCTCACACCCATCCCCTACCCACCCAAGCTCCCTGCTCCCACTGCCTCCCTGGGTATGGGCTCCATCTTCCTGCCAGCCCCAGCCCCACGATCCCTGTCCCCACCCAGCTGTAGCTCCCCACCAGCCCTGCTGCAGCTCCCCCTGCCCCTACCAGGAGACAAGAAGGAGCCGCTGGAGGCTGGGAAAGCTGAACAGGTTCCCCCGTGGCTGCAGGAGTGGCAGCAGTGGCCCCTCCTGGAAGCTTTGTGCTGGTTCGGCTGGGCCCTTCCACACACCAGGGTAGGAGCGAGGCACGTGGGCTGGGTGGGGGTACAATTAATCAGTGGACACCTGTGGGCCTGATCCAGCCCATGGACTGTATTTTGTCCACCCCTGCCTTAGGGACTACCTCATCCAGAGAGGCATAAGTTTTCATAGGTGACAGCCTGCCTTGTTAGCCTGGTTGATGATTGAACAGCCAAGAGTTATGTGTTTGGGTGACAAAAATCTGTTTAATCACAGAATATTGTACATGTCTTATCAGTAGATGATATCTTGTTCATTCTTACCCCAGTCAGTTCATGTTAATTAACCCATACTGTGCAGCTTTCTGAATTTGAACTTTGCCACTTGAGAACACTTTTGAAGTTTAATGCATTTCCTCATTAAAATCAATGGTGAAAGTAGGCCTGCCTTTTATATGAAGAAGTTGTGCCCAGATAATTTGTTAAACAGAGTGAGCTTGAAAGACAGAGCCTCATTAAATGAATACAAACTCTCTGACTTGGAGCCAAAGCGTTGGCCAGGAAGTGTGTGGAAGCTCCCACTGTGCTTTCCTCTGCCCCACACACCCATTTTGTGCATCAAGAAAGAGGTGTAGATGCCAGGAGCTGTCAGTTGTTTCTCACCATGTTGTCACCTGGTTGTGCTTGACGACTAGCCAAGTAAGTGATCTCTTACCTAGAGATGGGCCTGAACTGGTGCTCCCGATCCAAAACAACATGACTTCTGTAGCTATCCAAGTCTGGATCTGCTCTTCGTAGCTTTGGCCTGTCTCCTTTTGTTCTAATTGTTGAGCTTGTTCAAATGATCTCCCTCATTTTGGTAAGACATGGTTAACAGCCCAGTGTGGTGGCTCAGACCATGGCTGATGGGTCCTTCTGCAAATGGTGTGGGTTTGAGGAGGTTCAGTACCAAGTATTTGAGCCTTCAGTCTCCAACTCTCAGAGTTGATGCTGGGGATGAATCTAGAGCAGCCTCATAGTCAGTCTTCCTTCTCCAAAGCATGTCAGTGCATTTGAAATGGTAGGGCACACTCTGTCCCATTTACCCTAAGACCTGCCACTGGCACTGTATAGACAAGCCACAATATCCCCTTCACTTCCCTCAGCCCATATAGGTTCACATGTGGGCGGTTCTGACCATGGGTGAATTAACAGGAGTAGTAGAGTCTGCTAACTGAGTAGCTCCGTGCTGGCTCCTCCAGAGTTTCTGGTAGTTGTTAAAACCACCCTTCTTCGCTGCAACCTGTAAGCCAAACAGCCTCTGCTAGTGCAAGAAGAGTAGTTTACTTGTGTGTCAGCCCAGCTGAATTTAGGTCCAGATATGCAGTTATATGGGGTCTGTAGATAATACTGTGCATGGCCACAGTATAAAGTGTGAATCTTTGTATCTATCTACATATTGATAGAAAGACCAGAGTAGGTTCAATGGGATTTGTATGGGCTATACTGTACAGTAAAATCTGTCTTCTCCATGGCTGTTTTGGGCACAGAACACTGCACAGCTTTTAAGCTGTTCTGAACAGCCCAGTACAGCACAATTGTGTATTTATGCACCGTGGTAGATCTATTTGCTAAGTAAATGGAGTTCTTTGATGCCCTTTCTTGTTCCGCGTGCCGTGTGAGACTGGATGAGAGAAGGAAGAAAGGCCTTCTAAGGAGAAAATACATGTTTGCTTTTCTGTTTATCACATTGACAGCTGTTTGGTTTTTCTTGTGTCTGCCCAGGAAACCAAATCCTGTCTCCTGGAACTTCTGTTGGAAATGGTCTAACGCCAGAAGCTGCAAAAGACCTTGGTCTTCCTTGTGGGATTGCAGTAGCAGCATCTCTCATTGATGCACATGCTGGAGGACTAGGTATGCTGTTTTTGTACTTGGAAATAGAGATGTTACTGAGATTCTATATTTATGGAAAATATCCCTTTCCCACAAAGCTTCATTTGTTACGAACGCCAGTAGCTAAGCAGCATGCTGACCTATTCTTACAAAATAACATACTTCTTAAAAACCCCTCTTATGAATTAGTCATTCACAAAAATGATGGTACACATATTCCAAATTCAGTTATCTAGAGTTGAAACTTTTGCTGATTTTGTTGTTGCTGTTGCCTCCACTTTGGAGTTGCTAACTAGGAATGTCAAAGATCTGATGTCGGATACTAAGAGACTTCATGTCCCAATGGCCGTTCCCATCAATCAGTGCTCCAGGGGGGAAAAAACCCAGTTATTAAATGAACTGCTTGGCCACAGACTGTGGGGCTCAGACAGGAATCAGTAGGTGACATGTCATAGATAAGAAAACAAAACAGAAACTGCTGAAAATTCCAGTAAATCTTCTGGAGAAACACTATAGGCAGGGGATTTTGTAAATGTATTAGTATCTGAACATATTAACTTATTTACTATATCATTCACAGCCATTTGTAATGTTTTGGTTCTTCTAAATGTTGTATATCCATTAAAGTAAGCACCTGTGTACAATACTATGTTTGTTTGCATTGCAGTAGAGGGAATATGCCCTGTTTTGTTTCAAAAGTCTCAGAAAACAAAAAATACTAAGTCAGGCATAGTCAAAATTGATTTCTGTTAGCAAAATGCACCGTCTCTACTAATAAGCACTTAATAACATCCCCAGTCTGCAAACACAAAAATAGAGAATAACTTCATAACATTGGTCATTAAATAGCCACATCATAAAACTTACACTGAGCTTTTCTTATCTTGGAGCGTACATAGAAGCTGGATGATGTATTTTGGTGTTCACCCATCCCAAATTTGGTTTCACATTGAAAAGCCAGCTCACATATACCATTCATTTTTAGGTAAACCAAAGTTCAGTTTTGAGCAAGTGTGGAATGATTGGTATGCACGTGTCACAGATGTCTAAACCTATTCCGTTCTGCATAATGTTGCTTCAAAATCCAATGGGAATCAGCAGCTCCATCTGGATTTGTTCAGGCTGTCAGTTTAAAGTGAAATTCAAGGAGTAAATCCACATCAGAAAGAAAAGGGAAGCACTGGACACACTCCTCTGCAAAAATGAAATCGCTGAATTTCTTTCTCTCATATAAGGAACTAACAGTACTCTTAATTCTGGGTTTTTCAGTTAGTGGAAGTAATGGCAATATCTATTTTCATGAGTTCTGCTAAAAAATGAAAATATTTAGTTTTCAAGTTCACACGTATTTCCTGTTGCTGATCTGGGTTCTGGACATTGGACATTGTAGTGCATTGTACTGTATTTTCGAAAGCTTCATTTTACCTTTAAAAACTGTTATCTGTATGTCATTGTGTAACTTCTGCTCTAACAAACTGCTCTAACAAACTGGCTGGAGTCATCCTTCATGAAAATATATGGACTTTGATAGAACTCCAGAGATGAGGAAATGAATTTCCCAATACATTTGCTATATTGCTTCTTGTTGCTTTTTATAGCCCAAAGTTCTCAGCGTTAGCTATCCAGCATCATCCGATTTGCTGAAATATATTTGTGATCCTTGGAACCAGCCAAAAAGATGGCAGCAACATTTAACTTGAGGGCATTTTCCCCCTCTGAGATCCATATGGTACAAGAAGATTTTAAGTTTCTGTGTTGTTAGTTAGAGTTTACATAAGGAAAACAATAGTTTTGGTGTCTTGTTTCACCCTGTTATTCTGATAGGACAGTCTTAACAGGCTTTGTTTGCTTGTTTGTGTGACGGGTTGGCTGGCAGTGACCTGGTCCAGGGGTTTTGAAAGGGCAAAAGATGATTGGAGGACTTGGGATTCCCTTTCCTCACCAATCTGGTAATGATTTGGCCCAGGAGTTTTGAAGGGGTAAAAGATGATTGGAGGACTTGGGATTCCCTTTCCACACCAATCAGGCACCAGAGGCTCACCTCCCCCATGTCCCAATTGGCCCCTTGGGTCACCTGGAGGGGGATAAAAGGGGTGGCATGGGCTGATTCAGGAGAGTCCAGCAAGGGACAACAAGGAAGGAGCTTCACGGAGCTGGCAAGAGCTCAGCCAGCGGGGCAGAAGCAGTGCCCCGGAAGAGCCTGAAAGAGCAGGACTTGCAGGCAGCAGTGGGACCCTCAGCAGCGTGACATGTGGCCAGCAGGAGAGGCTCCCCACTGGGCTCCAGGATCCCCTACGAGAGGCTGCAGCCAGCAGGAGAGGCTCTCCCACTCCAGGAAGGATTTGAACAGTGACCTGAGGGGTTCCCAGCTCTGCTTCTGGCTCCTCCAATCAGAGGCCAGGCAGCTCGACATGAGGCCGGGCTCTGGGAAGGTCAAGACCCCTAGCAGTGCTACCAGTGGTGGCTGTGTGGCAATGTTCCTGCCCACCCTGTGGGAGATCTGGGTTCAAGTCCTAGCTGAGATGACTTGGGGTAAGTGAGATAACAAGAAGCAAATCTTCTTGCAGTGGAAAGGGGCCATTGTGTTTTCTCCCGCCTCCAGGTACCAAGGCCCTATGTTTCCTTGTCATTTGACATTTTGCGTTTTGTGCCTTTTTATATTTCACCAACCCGTATTGTTTGTTCTGTTGTTTGAGTTTTATATTTTGTTAACCCTGTTTTGTCAGTGATTGTAAGTGTCTAACATTTGTTGAATCCTGCCCCCTTGGGGCATTGTAGTGTCCACTATACCCTCTGATTTATGCCTGTTATGTTCCCAGTATTAAAAGGTATATGGTTAAGTCCCCATTAGTGGTCTGGCTCTGCTCTATAGGGGGAGGAGAGTCCCT